CAAATTCTCAAGCCCCAAAATTCCTATGTCCTCAAATTTCCAAGTCTCCAAATTTCTAGATCCTCAAATTCTCAAGCCCCAAAATTCCTAGGACCCCAAACTTCTAAGTCTCCAAATTCCTAAATTCCCAAATTCTCAAGTTCCAAAATTCCAAGGATCCTAATTTTCTAGCTCCCCAAATTCTTAAGCCCCAAAATTCCTATGTCCCCAAATTTCCAAGTCTCCAAATTTCTAGATCCTCAAATTCTCAAGCCCCAAAATTCCTAGGACCCCAAACTTCTAAGTCTCCAAATTCCTAAATCCCCAAATTCTCAAGCCCCAAAATTCCAAGGACCCCAAATTTCTAGCTCTTCAAATTTCTAGATTCCTATACCTGTAGATCCCCAAATTCCTACATCCCCAAATCCCTAGATGTCCAAATCTCTACATCTCCAAATTGCCATATTCTCATATTTATAGATCCTCGAATTCCAAAACTCCCAAGTATTCACATTATCAAATTCCTAGATTTGGACCTACAACCCCAAATTCTTTGGTCCATAATTTGTATACCTCCATATCCCTAGATCTTCACATCTCTATTTCTCCAAAACTCAACACTTCTCAAATTTTGACCTCATCCTCCAATTATCAAATTCCTAAAAATCCATAAAAATCAATGAATAATTTTCTTATTCGCCATATTTTCACCAGGAAATCCTTGATCGACTAAAGGTTCTACTGAAGATACTTGAAGTTCTACTGAAATCAGACATAGTTTATCTTATCGAAAGTTTATCTGAAAGCCTGCATAAACAAGAAATCTTATAATCTCAATTAAGCTGATAGAATATTCGAAATGCTTATGCAGCATCTTCGTTTATGAGTTCAATGAATTAATTAATTTCTTGCACGGTTTTCGGATCAAATTTATTCCCTAATGATTTTCTCAAAGTGTCAAAGCCTTGAAATCTTAACAATTTCAGCTTAAGGTGAATTACTGTGTTTAATAATTTAACGTTTGCGAAATTTGAACGTCATAAACATTCCCGGTGGAATCAAGATTACCTTTATTAAATAGTAACTGTTGTTTGTTTCATGCACGCGCTGAGTAGAACAACCTCACCTGCATAAAGGTAAGGCTTTATGTAACATTATTGAACATCGCACGTAATACCGAGAGTTTGTTCCTAGAAACCTTACTACAACTCAATCTAGTTTACCCTGTGGAAAATTTTACACTTTTCCGAGTAATTAACAGGAATCCTCAAAATTGTATTGAATTTTGGAAATCCGCAGAACGCTTGTGCGGTGTTATCTTTCTGTTTAACGAAATTAATGATATGTTCGTTAAACATCGGGTTAAATATATTCGTCAATCTTACAAAGAGAGATCATCACTTTTTACCATTTAATTTTTTATTCGACATACAATTTTTTTAGTTATGATGGAACATTAATAATTAATTACTTTTATATATTAATTATATATTCATGAATCTTACTCAGACCGATCATCGCTTTTTATCATTTAATTTTTTATTTGACATGCAATTTTTTTAATAACGATTGATCATCAATAATTAATTAGTTTTATGTATTAATTATATATTCATCAATCTTACTCACATGGATCATCAATTTTTAACGTTTAATTTTTTATTTGATAACCAATTTTTTTAGTAATGATTGATCATTACTAAAAAAAGTAAATTATAAGTAAATTAATTAGTTTTATATATTAATTATATATTCATCAATTTTATTCAGACAGATCATCACTTTTTGCCATTTAATGTTTTAGTTGATATCCAAATTTTTTAGTAATGATTGAACATTAATAATTAATTAGTTTTATATGTTAATTAGGTCTTTCGTCACAATTGTTTTGTAACAACTGTTTTATTGAAATTCCTCGACATGGAATTAAAAAAAAAAGCGAACCTACAATGCAAAAATTTTGTAATTAATAATTAATCACAGTTAATTTTTTTGTAATACTGGCACATTTTGTATGAAACTTCTTAACATGAAACAAACGGGGCAACGCAAAAATGAATAACAACTTGAAAATCAGATTGTACCGAAGCTCGTTAAATGAAATAAATTCAAACGAATCTGCAGGAGTCTCTGCAGAAGATTTGCACTTTAACTAGCTCTTTTAATCCCGCCGGAAGATTTAGTCGAGCAATCTCGCAACGTTTACGGGGGGCTACATAATTAATCAGAAGGCTTTGAAATTCGTCGTTTATAAACTATTAATAAGGAGGAAATAACGAGGATACTGAAAAAGAGAGATGTATAATTACATGGCGATGCGTTATAATTAAATACTTTTGGATGAATTCCTGCAAAATTTCAATGTATGAGTAATTTGCCGGTTTGAGAATTTTGGAGGTTTAAGGTTTGCAAATTTTGGGATTTGGTATTTTTGGAAATTTAGAGGTTTTGGCATTGGAGGATGTAGGGAATTGGTTATTTAGGGATTTGGGAATTTAGAAATTTAGGAATTTAGAAATTTGGGGTTTGGGGATTTGTGGATTTGATAATTTTGGCATTTAGAATTTTTTAAAATTAGGGATTTAGGAATTAGGGGATTTCAAAATAAAAAATTTTAGATATTTGGAATTTTTGAGATTTGGAGATTTAGTGATTTGGAAATTTGGAGATTTGGAGATTTAGGGATTTAGGGATTTAGGGATTTAGGAATTTGGGGATTTGCGGATTTAGGGATTTAGGGATTTGGGGATTTGGAGATTTGAAGATTTGATGATTTTGGCATTTGAAATTTTGTAAAATTAAGGATCTTGGAATTAGGACATCTGGAGTTTTGGAGGTTTAGTGATTTGGGAATTTAGAGACTTAGAGATTTAGAGATTTGGGAATTTGACAATTTTGGCATTTGGAATTTTTTAAAATGAGGGATTTAGAATTTAGGGAATTCGAAAGTTTAAGGATTTGGAAATTTAGAGATTTGAAAATTTGAGGGTCTAAAAATGTAGGATTTTGGGTATATAGAATAGTAAACATTCAGTAATTTAATAATTTGAACAAAATTTTAAGGTTTCAGAATTTAGGGATTATGGGACTTAATAACTTAGCATTTCAAAGTAAGCAAGTTTGTGAATTTAGCAGTTTGGTAACTTAGAAGTTTATCAAACTTAGTTTGGAAATTAGGTAATTTAATAATTTAGATATTTATAAATTTGTAACCCCTTGCACTATGACTTATTTATCAGGTGCGTCAGTCAGAACTGACTAATTACAGCTACAATATTAAAACAGACAAAAAAATTTGAAATGTTATGTCAATATGTTATTATTCAATAGTGGACTATGCAAATTGTAATTGGACTTGAACTCCAAATTGAAGCGCATTAAAAATTTGAGTAAAATTGATCACGGCCGAAGTACGAATGCGTCACGACTCGTCAAAATAGTGCAAGGGGTTAAATTTGTAAAATTCTCAATTCTTAAACTCAAACCTTAAAAATCTAAAAATTCTCAAACTCGCTAAACACCTTCCAGCCCCAAAACATCGCGTGCTAATTACCAAAAAAAAATCGCCCGAACAATTTCCCCTCGTTCAGAATCGTTTCAAAAACCCATACATTTCAGTATAAATATGCTAAAGTCCCGTAAAATCCTGTAAGGATATTGGGTATCCCAACTACGGTACATCGTAGGATATCGTAGTGAATGGCGTCGACAGAAGGCGATCGTTGCAGGCGACTCGCGAAATACAAATTCCTCTCCAACAGGAGGCGTCAATTTGCCATGAAACGGTGTAAGTGTGGGGGGTCTTTCCTTTGGACGATCGGAACAAGCTCGACCGTGGCAAAAATCGTTCGATCAAATCGCCCGATACGATTCCCTTTTACGGCCGAGAATTTCAGCCATTCTCTCCCTTTCTAAACGGGTGATTTCGCTGAAATCGATTCGTCTGAACTCGTTCGTGACCGCCGCTCGCGAATTTCTTGCGAATTCGTTTCACACAAATTTCACCGTGGGTGCCACGTGTTTCTGTATTTTAACGCGAAACTAAAACGTTATGGCTCCGTCGTTTGATCGTTTCAGACTGAAACGTCGTTGATGTACGACGCCGTGCACCTGTTCGCCAAAGCACTTCACGATTTGGACACGTCCCAGCAGATCGACATCAAACCGTTGTCCTGCGAGTCCACCGACACCTGGCCTCATGGATATTCACTCATAAACTACATGAAAATCGTGAGTATACATACTTCTCTGAGTTACGACCTCGTGAAATGTGCGGAAAGACAGGTTTACAGCGCCGGGGCGAGGAAATGGGAATGCGTTTAAGGTTAGGTTAACTTTGCGTGGAAGGGAAATTCAATTTCGAGGTCGAAACTTATGTCTTTAAAATGTCTCTCGTTTTAATAGCGGTATTAGTTTGCATCGTTAGTATTTTTGATATTGTAGTATAAGGGACGCGATGAATTTCACATTATGTTTTCGAATTTTCGAATTTTCAAATTTGCGAAGTTTTTGTTTTTTAAGTTGATAAAAATCAAGTTTCTGAAGTTTTCAGCCCGTAAGTTCCTAAATGTTTAAATTTCCTAATTCCCCAATACCGTCATTTTTTAATTTTCAAAATTCAAAAATTTTCAAATTTTAGTTTCTCAATTCCCCAATTCCCTAGATTCTACATTTTCCAAATCCCAAATTCCCAAATTCTCCAAATACCAAATTCCCTAGATTCTAAATTCCCAACCCCCAAATTCCCCAAATACCAAATTTCCTAGATTCTAAATTCCCAACTCCCAAATTTCCCAAATATCAAACTCCCTGGATTATAAATTTCCCAAATCCCAAATTCCCCAACTCTCAAATTCCTCAACTCCCAAATTCCCCAACTCCCAAATTCCCTAAATTCTAAATTCCCCAACTCCCAAATTTCCCAAGTACCAAATTTCCCAAATCCCAAATCCCGAATTCTTCAAATTCCAAATTCCCCAAATCCCAAATTCTCAAATCCTAAATGCCTCGAATCCCAAATTCCCTACATCCCAAATTCTCCAAATCCCAAATTCTCCAAATGTCAAATTCCCCAAATCCCAAATTCATCGAATCTCGTATTCCCCAATTTCCCGATTCCCCTATTCCACAATTCCCCAATTCCCCTATTCTCCAATTCCCCATTTCCCCAATTCCCTATTTCCCCAATTTCCCTGTTTCCCAATTCTCCAATTCCCTATTTTCCCAACTTTGCCACTTACCCAATGCCCCCATTCCCTAATTCCTCAATTCCCTATTTCCCCAACTTTGCCACTTACCCAATGCCCCCATTCCCTAATTCCCCAATTCCCAACTCCCTAATTCCCAAATTCCCAAATTTCCCGAATCCTCAATCCTGCATTAAATGTCCCATCCTCATAATATCTCTGTACCTATAATCTCCATATCAAAACTTCCTAAAAAATTATATAACTGCTCGTATAAAAATATAGTCACCTAACCATAATTAATTAAATAACACTTCATCATTCCGCACACCCATTCTCTACTCTTTTAGACGTCCTTGCCCTTTCCACATTAATTTCCCATCTACCCTATACTTCACATCGAATCGCCATGTTCCCAATGCTTGTAATTCACTACTCTAAAACGGTTTACCAAAACGTAAAAAGCACGGCATATAAAGCAGGGTAGTAGTGCCGCGTGCAAGTAGCCTAATTGCAGGTCTGCGTAATTGGATGTCTGGCGGGCGTAAATGGCCGTAAAGGGAGCATCGCGAGAGGGCAAAAACGTCGGGCAACCGATGCGACAATGATCCCCTGGCCCGTTATCGATAGCCATCTTCCATCCGGTTGCGGTTCCCGTATCTCTGCGGCCAGAGGAGCAACGATGGCTGATGGTTTATCGGGAATGTATCACGCAAAGGTCGCCAGGGAGGGGAATTAATTTTGCGGAATTACGGGCATCGATCGAGCCGTCAGTGCAACGTAATAAGCCATTATAACGATATGCTTAATCTGACTGTCCCTACCACGGGGTTCGTGCTTATTAACGAGCGCCACGAGTGCAGCCATGTGCGACCGTTGCTATCGCTGAAACATTACTGATTTAGGTTCATGATATGTGTAAATCCACCATTGCTACACGTCTGTGAATCGATGATCCGTTACAGAAAGATTGGTGATTTGAGCAAAAAATTGACCTTGGGACGGTGGTTCAAGGTCAAATCGGTTTATGGTGGTATCGCGTAGTACTCGTTTAGAGGATGAAAAAGTGTCATAGGAACTATAGGTGGAAACTTGACGGTTGTCTAAAAAATTAACGTTGAAGCTTTGTTACTGAAGGACTCTAGTCAAATGCTATATTCTGTGACGGATTACATAATTTATCGTCATAATCCTCAGTGAATCATGTAATCTATAACAAATCGGGTAATTTTGCTATTATTAATCTTCCATTTAATAAATCATGCATCGTGTGATCTATGGTCCTACAATCTATCACCGTACAATATACATATAATAAGTGTTGTAATCTATAGAGGATGGCCTTCGTGGATTGCATGATTTATTTATAGCGCACAGACCTTGATATACAGGACCCCGTAAACTGTGCCGTCGTTGGCTGAAAGCAGCAGACGTACAGGATGGCTTCATCCTGTGCTCTCCGATTGTTCTGACGAACAATGGAAAGTTACCTGGCGGGTTAAACGAACCCGTCGGCCCCGTTGACAAATTATAGCTCGCGGTTTTGCGACCGTGAATTCCGAGCTCGCCACGACGCTACGTGGCTGCATAGAACCGAAATCGATCTTAGGAGTCGAGATTTCGGTGCATCCTTATCGGGGAAATGAATCGGAGCTGTTAACAGCCTGACAGAGCTGAAACAGCTGCATTTAGCACGATGCTAACGCGGATTATGTGGATTATTAACATCCTAACGTGGATCATTAAGTTTGAGTGCCACGTCGAAATCGCAGAAAATCTTACTGGCTGATCATTTTACAACGTAGCTAACTTTAAGTTTGATTCAACCTTTCAATGTTTTGTATTTATCAAAATTATTTACTGTTTGATTATTTCTAAACTATAATTTCATTTGTTTAACTCGTTTTAATAATTTTAAAGCGTAGCTAATCTTTAGTACAATTCAACCTTGCAAGGTTTTGTATTTATCAAAATTATTTACTCTTTGATTATTTCTAAACTATAATTTAATTTGTTTAACTCGTTTTATTAATTTTGAAACGTAGCTAATTTTTAGTATGATTCAACCTTGCAAGGTTTTGTATTTATCAAAATTATTTACTGTTTGATTATTTCTCAACTATTATTTCATTTGTTTAACTCGTTTTATTAATTTAATATCTGCTAACATTTTTGTTAATATCATTTGATTTAAATTAATTATTCGTATACGAAAATTTGTGTGTCGGTACAAAATTAGTTTTCATTCACTAGAATTTTAATCCTCAAAATCCGAAAATACTTTTCCACAAACAAACACGAGATTGCAGTTCGACAGTAAACAAAATTAGCAACAGCCAACAGAGTTTACACGAAACGAAACAAAACGCGGACACAGCAGGCGACTATAAATGAAGCATACAGGAAATCGAAGCAAACAGCAACGTAAACAGCTGTAGTTTGACGGATGGAAATTCAGTTACGTAAAAAATCAGGTTGTCCGATAACAAGCCGCTGCTCTGACAGCTATTTTCCTTCCAGGCTGTTCCGTTTTGTTCTCCGTGTTTTTTTCCCTGTTTAATATTTGCCTCCGCTAACGATGTACCGTTACTGTTATTACTGATCAAACACGTATGTCGCGCGTAAAGCGTTAATAATGTTTGCCGTAATATAAAAATACGCGTTGCGAGCCTGTCGAACAGCAATGTTACCTTCAATTTTACTAATTGCCACTGGTAACCGAGAACCAACCGGCATATACGAACACGGTGTACGCTTCGTAATTTGCCGGCGAAAATTCGTGTCAAAGCTCGACCGGTAATTATGCCGGTAATGGTCGCATTTGCCAATTTTCCTACTGCTTGCCGCATCGCCATTTCATGTCAAAATATCCTCAATTTTGTGGAAGATGTTGTTTCAGCTATAGAAAAAGAGTTTCGGGAAAATCCATAATCTTTGGGAAAATATATTGCAGTTTTAATTCACTTTTTTTGAAGATTTTGTGGTATTATTTTTATTTGCTTGCTGAAGTATTTGTCGATAACGGGATTTTTACTAATTGTGATAATGTGGCTAAGAGTGAAGAGTTGAATATAGGTAGTTTTAGGAAATTGTTTGACATTTTATTGTAAAATCGTTTTCAGTTGTATCACTTGGTCCGCCCCGCTCATTAACGGCTCGCCAATTAAGAACACGTTCTCTAACAGCCCGCCAATTAAGAACACGTTCTCTAACGGCCCGCTTCCTGACGGTTTCTCTTAGACTCGGCGATCTTATAGTATCGAATTTTCCAAGATCTTAAAGTACCAAAGTCCTAAAATTTCCAAATTCTAAAATTTCAAAATCCTAAACTTCCAAGGTCCTACACCAAGATCTAATTTTCCAAAATTAAAGTTCTAAAGTTCCAAACTCCCAATTTCCCAAACTTCTAAATTTCTAGGATCTAAAGTCCTAAACTCCTAGTCCTAAGATCTCAAACTTACAAAGTGGCAAATTTCTAAATTTTCGATATTCTCAAGCACCAAATTTCTAAGATTCCAAAGCACAAGAAAAATGTAAAAATTCCCAGGATCCAAAAGGTAGAACTTTGAAAATACCAAAATTCCAAAATTCCAAAATTCTAAAGCTCCAAAATTCAAAAATTCAAAAATTCCGAAATTCCAAAATTCCAAAATTCCAAAATTCCAAAGCTCCAAAATTCCAAAATTCCCAAATTCCCAAATTCCCAAATTCCCAAATTCCAAAATTCCAAAGCTCCAAAATTCCAAAATTCCAAAATTCCAAAATTCCAAATTTCCAAAGCTCCAAATTTCCAAAGCTCCAAAATTCCTAAATTCCTAAATTCCTAAATTCCAAAACTCTAAAAATAAAATTCCAAATTTTCAAGTTTCCAAAACTCCAAACTTTAACCATTCAAAAACTCCAACTTCCAAGTCAAAAGTTCAAGAACCCGAAAGTGCTAAAGTGCTGAAATACTTGAACTACCCACGCCATTTAACCGTGATTAAGTGGAAGCCAACGGAACAGCAAGGTCTTCCGCTCAGTGGTCACGAAATTTCCGGGCGGCTCATTCAGTAATCACGAAAAATGGCAGCCAACAATCGATTCGCTCGTTCTGCACGCTGATTCCCAGTCATGTTTCATCACGCGAACTATCCGTTACAGGCAGCCACCATTTTCGAGTGTATCCGCTTCCTCTCGCGTCCAATTCGCTCTGCTTTCTTCGGAATCGGTCAATGATTCGCTTTAACGTTTCGAGTTTTATCGCTTGTAAATATTGAGTGGATTCAGTGTGCAATGCCTGTGGGTTCGTACAGATGGACCGATCAAAGAGTTCAGAAAAGATGTAGTTTTCGATAAGCTTCCGGTAAATGTACTTATAACGAACGGTTGAACGAGCTACAAAATATGAGATCTCGAATGGTGAATCCAATCGAAATATATGAGAATATGAAAGTTATTTTAACTTGCGCACTGTTCATACTTTTTCATTACATTTGTATCGCTCGCTTCGTACGTGCATAGCTAAACAAACACAATCAAGTCGTATTTACTCAATGAATATGTTTTTTCTGGATTTTTATTAAAAGACGGTATATGCCATATGAATGAAATGTTTTAATAAAAAATTATTGAATATTGGATTCTCTCTGGAAGTCTATTAAATTCTCCGATTTTAACGGGTCTTTAATCCTTTGATGTGTAAATCAATTCGAAATTTTATTTTTGTTTAATTTTATTTTCCTAAAATAACAAATTGAATGTTTTAGAGAAGATAAATTCTTTATATTCTAACATTCTAAAAAATAAAATGTTTTGTGGAATATAAAATTTGACGAATCATAGATGTTTAACGTGGATTCATTTAGTTGCGAGGTCGATAATTGTTTGGTGTGCCCAGGTGGAAATGACGGGACTGACAGGGATCATAAAGTTCGATCATCAAGGATTTCGCTCAGACTTCATTCTGGATATTATCGAACTCAACAACAAGGAGGGCTTGAAGAAGATTGGAACGTGGAACAGCACTAAGGGTATAAATTTTACGAGAAGCTACAAAGAGGAGTATACTCAGATCGTCGAGAATCTTCAAAATAAAACCTTCATCGTTACGACAATATTGGTGAGTGTCCATTTTATTATCACCTTAAATTAAATTTTGCAAATGTAGTACGAAAAAGATAGTCGATTATATGTTACACGAATGTAACAACATTATTATTAATATACTGATAGTTTGTTTTAATCCTTTGTTACATCGTGGTACATAAAGTAATAGTATTCTTTGTTACATTGCTAACACATCGCACAAAGCGATGGATAAAATTAAATTATATTTATTATTATTATAGTTATTGACAATATTACTCCTCTCCTATAATTATTACAATTTTCACAATAAAAAATGCTATATATTCAGATTCATGTAAAATTATTTGCAATATTCAAAGCATCATTCACATACTCTGTACTGCATACAATGTATAATTTATTATATACAAAATTTTCTAAAAATCATTTACAATTTTCCTTGAGCAATTTCTATAAATATACCTAAAAAAAAATGCACATAATTCTTTCATAAATCTATTGGAAAATTTAATTTGTTATTCAAAATCAGCTAATGTACATGTTTCGAAAAAATACGATTTGCAACCCTTGTGTGTATCTTAAGATTCCATGGAAAAGTAAACGTATGAAATATTTTTTCAGCACCAAACAGATATAAAAATCCGCAGCCATTAGTTGTGTCTATAACGTCCCCTTCGTACTCCGTAGCGAATCAACCCCTGGAAATCTCATTCCGCGTCTCGAGTATCCGCAGAGTCTTAAAAATTTTCTTCCCTTCCACGTGAATCGTTCGCGTATCGTTAAAGCCCCGACTGTTTGTTTTTCCGAAATGAAAAGGAAACAGAAGCGGAGCCGAACGAGGTTCGTGCGGAAGCGAGAAATTTCCTTTTCCTTCTTCGTCCGTCACCTCCATCTCGTTAAGTATTCTTTTTTCCTTCTCTCCGCGGTCGTCGTCGGGGGAATAAAGAAAACCGAGGCCGGGGATACGGTATTTAATTGAAGCTTTCGCCGTCGCGTTACTTATTCTCGCGCTAATTGCGGCCACAAGTAATGCAATGCACTCGCGTGCATATTAACTGGCTCGAAAGTTCAGCTGGAGAAGCGTCAGAGAGCGTCGAGTTTCGTGGTCGCGAGATAAGGGTGCTCGAGGAGATGAGTCTGAGAACTTGAACAATCTAACGCCGCTTCTTTGAAGGTTTAAGCGTTCGCTGTATTTACGACGATATTAATCGGATTTTCGTTGGACGTGCCTGAATAAGGGCCTCGGTTAGTTCACTGAGTTTGTACAGCTTCTTGGGTTATTAGCTCGTCTCGAAATTTTAGGGCTTGATAAGATTATTAACCTTTGTACTATGGAGGAGGGTCAATTATCATCGAAGCCTCTGAAAAATAGCGACAAATTTTGTATTCGTGCTTCTACACCGAACATCTTCGTAGGTTTCAACTTTGAGAGATTTTTAAAGATTTTTATAGGTATTGAAATTTTAGGATTTTATAAGATTAACCTTTGAGCAATGAAACCGGGTCAACTATCGAAGCCTCTTGAAAAATATCGACCTTACAAATTTGGTATTCATGATTCTACATCGAAGATTTTCATAGGTAGACTTTTATGGACTTTCGTAGATTTTTATCTTTTTCTTGAAATTTTAGGATTTGATAAGATTATTAGTTATTTCTAAAAAGCTTTTTAACCTTTTCTCCTATTTTTTATGTTTATTATATTATTCTGCATATAGCTAGTACACTTTTGAAACACGTATGTACTTACATTGTTACATAGTAATAATATTGTTATTAATAAAATGTCCATGTTATTTTTCTGACAAGTTGTGATAAACCTCAGATTAGTACAAGTAGTATAGGTAGTTTAGGTTAGTATATATAGTTTATGTTTGTATGAGTAGTTTAAGTTAGTACATGTAATTTAGGTTAGTATAGATAATTCAAAAATGGCGCAAAACTCAAAATGTAACAATTATAATTAATTTTAAACAAGTTATTCAAAAATCATTCGTTGATCATAAAAAACAGCTCAACAGAATTATTAGTGACGATCAAAATTTAGTACATAATTATAAGTAAGAAGATAAAATAATTTCAACAAGTAGCTAAAAAGCAAATATATTCTTGAACAGAGCAATTCTTAAGTGTATCTTAACTTCCATCACAGCTTACACAAAACTTAAAGCGTATTTCTCAAGTACTCGAAGACCTTTGCTATGATCAAATTTTAGCTAAACTTTCCACGATACAAACTTCCACTCACGTTTTTTTCGAAAACTCGATTGCACACCTCGTAACTTCCCCTAACCTCTAACGAAATTCCTTGCCGATCATTGAGCATAATAAATGTCGTGCCAGTGTTTCACTTCGTGACACGTGGAATTCTAAACTCGAGAAACTCTCCACTATTACAAGTACCGTCATGTATTACATGACGTATTAAATGGTGTACCATTGCACGGACAAAATGAACTGAAATTATAACTTTGACACGTGGGGTTATTTCGAGGATGCCGTAATACAGGGTTAGCATAAATGATTCATTCGTTTTGAGAAGGGTATATATTTTAAAGTTATATGTACACATATGAAAGATATACATATGAAAAGAATCACAAACTCATCAAGTTTGTACACCATGTATAAATGTTCAATATGTGGTGACACAACACACATTACTACCTAAACCATGAATTTCTTTCTGTGGGGGTATGTTAAAGATCTTGTTTATCTCCACAACCACAATCCTTATTCGAGCCCAGTATGGAATGAGCTCGATTATCGTTTGGACATAAAACGATATCATGTTTTACGTCCAATCAGAGTCATATCATCAGAGACACGTATTAAACATTTGTAGAGGGTGTACAAACTTGGTGAGTTTGTGGTTCTTTTCATATATTTTTCATATGTGTACGTATATAGTATAATACTTGTGAAGATATAGCCTTTCCAAAACGAATGAATCATTAATACTACTAAATGATTTTTATGCAAGTAAAGTATTTCATGTGTGATTCGTCACATACTCAAATTAGGTCAAAAACAATAACAGCTGGCAAACATCTCGAGATTGAGTGGAATAGTGCGAATTGTGTTTAGCAGTTATTGTCATTATTTACCTGTATGTCTGGAAGTGTTCACGAAGGTGCTTCTTTTACTTTGTGTCGATCACCAACTCGTGAGTTAGCAAGTCTATATATATAACACCAAAGTATACACATCTGATATTCGGTACATTATATCCTCTCTCCTCGAGCAGACCGAAAATCTCGTCGTTCGTTTTTAATCGTGCGCATAGAGATGCATATTTCAGTCTACTCCAGCGCCCAGTACAAATCACGGCTGCGTTAATTAAGCAGCGTTGGAGCGCGAAAGGAGCCACGGCACCTGAATTTTCATATTCGTAGAAACGTGGCCAGGTAACGCAGTCCGTGGTTTCGCACGCGTACACATACGTTCACGCACATATCGCGCGTGTTCCATTGGTTAACCCGTCGACCCGGGTGTTCGCATGCTCGTATTCAAATCTGCTCGCACTATGCCCTACGTATCCTGTACGTGGCACGCGTGCACACATACGTGCAATTGAGCCGTGACGTCATCTCATTAACCCACAGAGCGCACCGTATTGCATGAGGAAGGACTCGAGCGAGAAGCTCACCGGAAACGCGCAATTCGAGGGCTACAGCATCGATTTGATTTACGAGATATCGAGAATACTGGGCTTCAATTATACGTTCCATCTGGTGCCAGATGGACGATATGGTTCCTACAACAAGCAGACCAAAGAGTGGGACGGTATGATGAAAGAACTGCTCGATCAGAAGGCCGATCTAGCGATCGCTGATTTGACCATCACATACGATCGGGAGCAAGCGGTCGACTTCACTATGCCGTTCATGAACCTAGGTGAGCGATCTGTTTAATCAAGAGGGCCGTTCCGAATGCGCTAATTGGACACGGAAATCGATTTAACGACCGGCAAACTGCTAACCGTGCACCAATTCGGGGCTAGCCACCAACCTTTTCAATCTTTATTAACGTAAAGTCAGAATGTTAATAAGGATTGAAAAGATTTCTTTTTTTTGTAATGTTACTCATATTTCTCCTTTCTTAATTTGGACATTTTTATTTTGGATATTTAAGAAGATTTAATTGTCCACATTTCAAGGCTATCTAAATTCAAGGCTGTCTAAATTCGAGGCTTGAGAATTTGAGAAGTTAATTTGGGTAAATTAAGGAAGTTTTTTATCTGAAAATTTGAATGTTTTGAATCTTAGGGACTTAGAAATTTGTTGATTTCGAAACACAAAATTTTTGAAATTTATAAAATAGAAAATTTGGAAATTAGGAATTGAAAAATTCCAGGATTTGGAAATATTAAAGTTCAAGAATAATTTAGAAATTTGAAAGTAATTCAATAATATACATTCGAAATCCCGAATAGTCTCAAATATTTCAATATCCGAAATAAAAACATAGGCACACTTTCTGCTATAAATATTTGCACGGTCTACAGGGAAATTTAATATCCGAAGTTTTATCCAGTTATAAAAACAACTCCAAATAGTGTGTAATAGACGTATCCTTCTAAAAAAAAAATCAATAAAATAAACGATGAGTCTTTTATCGAAATGGGAATTTACACCCCAGAAATTGTTTACACGACAGTTTACAAACAATATTTTGTAGATTTTAAACGGATAAACTGCGAGATATAAATTTTACGTTTTCAGGTATCAGCATACTGTACCGTAAGCCTATAAAGCAACCACCAAATCTGTTCTCGTTCCTCAGCCCCCTGAGTCTGGACGTTTGGATTTATATGGTGACAGCTTATCTGGGTGTCTCGTTGCTGCTCTTCATACTCGCCAGGCAAGTGAATCCATTCTGCCAACACCTGATAAAAATATTGTACGGCAACGACGAAATTTCGTATCCGAACGGATCCCTTCATCTAATATGCTTTACCGCTCGAATAAACTTTCAACGTGTCAAAAACTCGAGATATTTTTAGCGTACCTCTTCTGTGACAGTGAAACAAAATATTACAGGAATAAAATGAAAGGTGTAATATATGACTTTGGAAATAATCTTTCTGCACTTTGTTTGTTAATTTTATCGTACTTTGCAGATGTGGAATAGGAACTGTATCCTGTAATGACCTTAACTTCAATTTTACCTCTATAGTGATTTTTCAGTTGTAAGATATTTCTTTAACGTCGACACGAAATTTGTCGATCACATCAATACTAATCTTCAATTTAACTACATACATTCATAGTAAATACTCAGAAAACAGTAACAACACAATACTGTATAAGAGATTTATAAATATAGCATCAACTAACATATGCTGATATTACTTCAACGAGATATGAAATATTTTTATAAAAGCACGACATCAAAGTTTTGTAATATAGAATATGCAACTCAAAACCAGTCATTTTGACTGATATAATCTTACTGAAATTTTCAGTAATTTGAGGCAGTCAGTGTGTCGAACTTAAATATATTTTTAATCAATGCATCAGATATTCAAATAATGATCGAAAGACCGATCTGAAAATATCTTAGCAACCGTGTGTCTAGCACAAAGTATCTATCGGAACGCAACAAACTAGTAACATTCCGTTGGACTTCTTTTTCCGACCGTCGACGCGGTTAATCTTCATACGTAAATGGCGATCGACGAACGCGGAAGACGTCCATCTTGAAAAGATCAGACGTTGTCTAGAGTTGATCAGTTTAGATTCACCCCGTACGAGTGGTACAATCCTCATCCGTGCAACAAAAACCCGGACCATCTGGAGAATCGCTTCAAGCTGCTCAACTGCATGTGGTTCACCATTGGATCGTTAATGCGGCAGGGCTGTAACATTCTGCCCAAGTAAGCCGTTAGATTGGCATCTCACGGTCATTGGCTCGAGCGTTTCTTTTGCTCGTTTCTTTTCTCCTCTTTTTTCATCCCCCTTCTATGTCTTTGTTTCCCTCCAAGCTCGTGTTTCTCTTAGCTGATAAATGAAAAAAAAAATTACACCGCGATCGGGCACCGTTGACGACGATCGAGAACGCATGTAAATCGACGTCGACGATCGGTAACTAACAACGGATCCACTTTCGCCGCGATTTGCTCGAACGCACAGCCACTTTACGGGCCAAGTTCACTCGAACGACGGAATAGATGAATAATTCAGCGAAACGAATTCGTGAAACCGCTTTCAACAGTCCCGACGGGATATCGGATACTTTGAATGTGTTGCAGCTGCGTCTACTGAATCATGCCCGAATAGTGCGATTGGGAGATTGGAAATTGCCATAACTGGGGCTCCAAGGCGTCTAGGCATGTACTATGGGCGGGTTGATTTTCTAGTTATCCAAACTTCCACATCTCGAAATTTTTAAGTGTTTAATGGAATTCCATTAAATTAAGTTTTTACAGAATAAAGTTTTTAATTCCATAAATTCTTCAGATTCTAGATTTAGTAATGAAACCCCGAATCCTCAAATTCTTGGAATTTTTAAATTTTCAAATTTACAATTCTCTAAATCCTTAAATCTCAGAATCTGCCAATTCCTAAATCTCAGACATCCCAAACTTCTAAAATACTAGCTCTCCCAATCCCTAATTCCTCAAATCTCTATATCGCCAAATCTCTATATCCCCGAAAGCTCTATGTCCTCAAATGCCTATATCCCCAAACCCCTAAGACCTCAAATCCTTAAATCGCCAAATCCCTATGTCCTCAAATCCCTAATATCTCCAAATCTCCAAATCCGTAAATTAAAAAATCCCTAAAACCCATGACCTCAAATCCCGAAATCTTCCAACCCCTAATTCCCTAAGTCTCTGAATTCTCAAATCTTAACTCACAGAATTCCGTCTTCCCAAGTTCTGGAATTTCCAAGCTTAATTTTTCTTTCAAAAGCATTCCTGTATTTCTTTGGTTCCTGGAACATTTTATAGCAAAAAAGGGGTATATAGATCACGAACTATAAAAACGTTCCACGATATTCGCACAATTTATTACGTGGAAAAAAGCATACGGCGAGGGATAATATCCTCTGGTGAGAGCATGTGGGTTACCTGGCAGTCTCTCCTTACATCTGGTGTTTGTAGAACTAGAATATCGATTAACTACTGTGCGACAATTCTCAGAGTCGTAGCTGTGTTTCGAGACTTTAAACAAGTCATATGATATATATTTTGTCAAAGATATTTCATAAAATTGAGATATACTTCGTGTGTCCGCAAAGCGATATGAATTATGATATGAATGAATTCCTCCACAAATGTTCAGATGATAAATCAAAATGATAAACCAAATATTACAATATGATATTACTATCGATTAATGAGGTAAATGGTAAGAATTGTTTTGTATCTATATTTAATTTCACTACACAGAATATTCTTCTAATTTTAGAACTAACTAACTTAGAACTAACATAAATGCTTGTAAAAATCATAACAACTAACATATCTAATATATGGTCACATATAATTGAATTTTGATTGCAATGGTAATTACGTTAATTTTAAAAATGGTATAAAAGATTTGATATAATGCGGTATCGAAGCACTAACACTCAGAAGTTACAAGCACACATAGAAGACAACAACTCGAGTGTACCTTAATGTCTCCTTAACACCCGCACCTAAATCACCCAGAATCCCGCCGCAAAGCCGTACAACGTCCACGGGAAACGTTTCCCTGTAATTCCTGAAACAGAGGAAACATTTCAAACGTTTCACAGTTCGTCGTCGACACGTTGGGACACCGCTTGTGAACAAACACTACCAGTTCTAGCGTCGCTGTATCGATATTTCAGCAGCCTCGAAACGAGTACCTGCACTGACGTCCATAAGTATTAGGACGTTTGGAGGATTATTTGTGATACTGAAAATATTGCAAATTTTTATTTATTTTTGTCTACATAGGCATATTGTTTTAGGTTTCTAATTATCATTGTCTGTCGATTTTAATTGACAATTTTTCTATTTGGCAATTTTATAGTTTGGAAATTTTTCAATTTGGCAATTTTACAGTTTGGGAATTTTTTAATTTGGCAATTTGGCAATTTGGCAATTTTACAATTTTACAATTTTACAATTTTACAATTTTTCAATTTTTCAATTTTTCACTTTGCCAATTTTAAATTTTACAATTTTACAATTTTACAATTTTACAATTTTACAATTTTACAATTTTACAATTTTACAATTTTACAATTTTACAATTTTACAATTTTACAATTTTACAATTTTACAATTTTACAATTTTTCAATTTTTCACTTTGCCAATTTTACAATTTTACAATTTTACAATTTTTCAATTTTTCAATTTGCCAATTTTACAATTTGGAAATATTTCAATTTGGCAATTTTACAATTTGGAATTATTTCGATTTGGCAATTTTACAATTTTTCAATTTTTCAATTTGCCAATTTTACAATTTTTCAATTTTTCAATTTGCCAATTTTACAATTTTTCAATTTTTTGATTTTTTAATTCTTCAATTCAATCCAATTTTTCAATTTGGCAATTCTTCAATGTTTCAGTTTTGCAATTTTGCAACTTTCTAATTTCTCAATTTTTCAATTCCTTTGATTTCCAAATTTTCAACTTCAAGCTCGAATATTTAAATCATCATATTCCTAAAGTTCTGCATTCTTAAAATTCTTAAAATTCCGGAAGATCTATATTTACAACAGAAAATATTATAAAATTATTAACCATTCGGATTCCTGAGTTTCTCAATTTAAAAGTCTACAAATTTGACAATTTACAACCCTCAAAAGTGACAGAATCTTCTCCTATATCGTCACTTTCCCTAAGAAGCTTAACACACTCGTCTTCGTTCTCTGAATCCGATCACAAATAAAAGCAGGTCAATCCCTTAAACTGTTAATCTAACCACTCACAATACAAGTGATCGCCTAAATACAAAAGCATACTTAATCCAATATAAAATAACAGAAATGAAACAATTCGATAGCTCATGGTTTCTTTGGTACTCTCCACGAGTACCACACTAAATGACAATACTATTATTTGAGTTTTAAGATCAAGGTCAAAATTAAGATTAATTCTTGCGATCTTCTTTAATAATTCTTTACTGACTATTGATATAGAAAATGATAATCGTGACATATAACAAACATCCTATACTTATGGACAACAGTGTTCTTATCATTAGTACATTCTGTACTTCTGGATAACAGTGTTCTTATCATTAGTACATCCTGTACTTATGGATAACAGTCAGGTTGCGACTCTGAGGTCTAATCCTTCCCCTTCTCCTTTCACGTGTCTGCAGGTTCAGCCCCTACGAGTGGGAGAATCCCCATCCGTGCAACGGACAGTCCGAGGTCCTCAAGAACGAGTTCACCCTGATGAACTCGCTCTGGTTCACCATAGGCTCGCTCATGCAGCAAGGCTCTGATATAGCGCCGAAGTAAGTGTGAAAAGCGACGAGACACAACAGCGACGTGTGGGTGTGAATCTTGTTACCCCTCTAGTTCGAGAGAGAGTATTCGAAAGCGAGAATAACTTTTGGCTAGCCACAATTAGTCACGGTCGGGTAACCTGGGTGTACGCGATAGAGTTCGTAGAAAGTGGAAAGGAATGGGCGAGATTCGGGGCCGTAGGTGGTGCCACGTTTTTTAACGATAGCCTGGATATGCTATATCGTAGGCTTGCTGCAATCGAATGTTCACGTATCGAAACTCGTCGACGTGCTTTGCCATCGCTGTAGCCACCGTTGCCAGTCACGGCGACGATGTTTCGCTCGATGGAAGTTAGTTGTTGCTGCTCCCACGGGATTCCCCTAAGTGGCCGAAACGCCAACGTGAACCTCGATTCAATTTCACCGGCACGATTCTCGGTGAAGCGAACTTGAAAATCTGCTATCGAGTACGTCGTTCGAAAACATTTCGTCAGACGTTCAAAAGTTGTGGATACAGCAACAACTTCTTCGTAGATGGAGACAATTAAAGCGCTTTCACCTGTTCGGAAGTTGAGCTTTCGTTCTCCAGTACTTCCTGCGATACGGCCCCCATCCTCGTCCGGTTTTTCGTCATTTATTATTTTTTCTAGTACTGTTTCGTTGTCGTTGTGCGTAGAAAGCGAATGAGTGCATGGAAACGTAGATACTAGAGTAGTATTTAGTAGTACCTTGTAGAGTTACAGAAGTCTTGATATTTTCCTACTAGATAAACCTTTAGGAGATTCTTTTACTCGTACTGATACATACGCGTATTGTAAGTTAATGTCATAAAACCCTCAACATCGACCTTTCGTAACTACCTGCCCCTAGAGCCCCTGGCGCAGGAAAATATCGAGCCTCCAAGTTACTCGAAACATAGAAAGCTTGACATGATTTGGTGACATAAATATTTTGTAACATTAATTTTTATCAATTTGATACTTGAATTATTCACTTATATGTTCATCAAACTGCACCGTTCAAACTCTACCATATTTTAAGTACCATTTCATTTGAAATAACCGTAACCTTATTTTGAAGTACCAATTGTGTTATCGAGTTTTCTATGTTTCATTCGATATACAATCTAAAGTTTCTCTTGCACGAATTGTGAGAGAATAAAATATTAAAATATCATAGTATATTATTTTTCCCTCGAGACACCTCTTCACGGTATTTTCATTGAAAATAAGTGTACCCGCGCAATTTTCGCGTTTAGATGATATAGCAGCAGACTTTTATTTCTCGATCAATCTTCTTAAACTAGCAACTCAGATATAGCCGCGTCAGTTCTAAAACACAGTAAGGTTGATCTTTCTTGAAATTCATACAGGAGAAACAGCTTTTTCGTGGACGCGTTACAAGGGTTTCTCTGCACCGGTTCAAATTTTTCTTCCAGGGCCGTGTCAACACGCATAGTGGCGGGTATGTGGTGGTTCTTCACTTTGATCATGATTTCTTCATACACTGCCAACTTGGCTGCGTTCCTCACCGTCGAGAGGATGGATTCACCGATCGAGAGCGCTGAGGATCTCGCAAAGCAGACGAAAATCAAATATGGGGCTCTCAAAGGTGGAAGTACCGCGGCCTTTTTCCGAGTAAGATCGCATGAATATCTTATACCCACTGTACAAACATTCGCGTAATCGTTTCACCTTGCTGTATACCATGTTTTCCTTTATTGACGAATTTCTCTTCAATCTACATACAATATCTTGCCGAAATGGAAATTGCACTACAAGTGCTTTGCAAGAATCCTCAAATGTGATACAGAGTCAATACTTATTTTAAAGATATATCATTATAATTTTATTTAAGGACAATTTTCATTTATTCTTGAGGATTGCTTGAGGTTTGAATATACAACTAATTTTGATCAAATTTGCTAATTCCTCATTTTCACTAAATTTTGAGCAAGTTCGAAAATTAAATAAATGTGCAGAGACCAAATATTTAAAGTTGCAGTACAAATTTAAACATATGTCTATCTGATCATATTACTGTGTCCTGCGCCTACATTACTGTGTCCGCACATGGTCAGCAGCATCCACATATCTCCGCCATTAAATATCTCCATAAACGCACGAGTCGATAAACGATTAATCTCCGAGCAGCAACGATTCTACCAAGAATCGAACAGGCAAAGGGACGTGTTTATCGATTTCTGTCGGAACGAGTAATTTTCACGTAGCCGCAGACACGTAATAGGCCTAAGCTTGAAGATTAACCAATTTCGATCGGCGTTCCATCGTTTAACTGCGCCGTGTGCTCGACCATGAAATTCCTGGCGTGATCTAGGATTCCAATTTCTCGACGTACCAGCGCATGTGGTCCTTCATGGATTCAGCAAAGCCGTCGGTATTTACAACGAGCAACGTCGAGGGTGTAGATCGGGTGATCAAGGGTAAAGGCAGTTACGCGTTCCTAATGGAATCCACTTCTATCGAATACGTAATCGAGAGAAACTGCGATCTGACTCAAGTTGGCGGTCTGTTGGACTCGAAGGGTTATGGCATAGCCATGCCACCAAGTAAGTACACTAATCGGGACACGTACTGTCACCTATATGGTTACCTGACGTATAAACTCGTCACCCAAATACACCGTTAGCCTATTACACTCAGCCGAATGGCTCTTCATCCGACATAGACACGGACTGTTTCGACAGATCGACGCATCTTTGATTTATGGTCGAATCGGATAAATTTTTCATCCTCGTAAATTTATAGGAAAAATTCAGGACAAAATAACACGAATTATTTACGAACTAAATATTTTGCAATTAAATAATTTATTTAGAAAGAGAAATTATTAATAGCATTATTACATTTATAGTATAAAATTGAGTGTTAAAATTTGAACTTCAATTTTTCATATTTTATAATCATATAGTCTCTATAATCATTTGCTACAATTTTAAAAAATTCGATGTTAACTTTTGTTGCTAATTATTTAAAATTATTAATTGATTTATGGTATCCAGAATTATAAAATTTATTAAAAAATAATTTTCTTCAAAAATAAGCTCTTTGAATGAACATATTAAAACATGAATTCTTTACATCAACTTTATTAAAAAATAAATTCTTTTCATGAACGTATTAAGAAATTAATTTTTCCATGAATGTGTAACAAGATAAATTCTTCGAATTAATATATTAAAAAGTATTTCCAGGAACGTACGAAAGAATGCTGTTTATACATATAAACGCATTAAATTGTTATTATGGACATATTAAAAAATAAATTCGTCGGATGAAAGTATCGAAAAGTAAACCGTTTCCATAAACATTGACAAATGAATTCTTTGAACGTTCTACCAATTAAATTGTTCCAATGAACGTGTCAAAAAATAAATTCCTCGAAACGTATAACAAAGCAAATTATTTCCATGAACACATGAAAAAGTACACATGAACGGGTTAAAAAATAAATTCCTCGAAAAAACATATTAGAATGTTTCTATGAACGTTAATTGAATCCTTCGAACGAACACATTGAAAAATAAATTCTTCCACGTATTAAAAAAAATTCCAGCGTGTAAGAAAATAAATTAAATTGTTCGGATGACCGTAAAAAAAACAAACTACGCTGATCAAATATAGCGGAAGCTCACGAGCCGATATTAAGCCGGAGTCACGTTTCGTGCCGAACGGAAAGCGATCGCGCGAAATGGTAGTCCCGGCGGTGCTTTTCGAAAAGTTCTATGCCCGATAAAAGCTAAGCCGGGAAATGAGAGGGAGTCGTTGAAAACGATCTTGGAACTTCAGATTCGCCGTACAGAACCGCCATAAGCGGAGCCATCCTGAAGCTGCAGGAAGAGGGGAAGCTACACTTGCTGAAGACGCGCTGGTGGAAGGAGAAACGAGGCGGAGGATCTTGCAGGGTGAGCATGCAAACACGCGGCCTAGCTTTCCTTATTTTCCCTCGAATACGTTCCAACAACGACGCCTGCAGTCTATAAATGCGCTCTAGAAATTCTTATCCCCCACCGAGGGCTCCCGTTGGTTCCAGACTCTCCCATCCACCCTGGGTAGACAGTGTAAAGATAAGAATGATCGGGAGGGATGAGGATGGTAGGAGACAGTTTCATAAATTCGTGAAATCATGGCCACCGCTATTATGCTGCTTTCGCTCGCCTATATTATTCTGCCAGAACGAATTCGCGCGATTGTTCGTCCTCGAAATTTGTGGGCTGTAGCTTCATAGTATACCTGTTGGCAGAACAGGCATTTGTTACTTCTTGGGTGGTTGTGAGATTCTTTATGGTTGGATGAAATATAGGATATAGCTCAAATAGAACGCTATTAATATATTTAGTAATTTGGGAATTTAGGAAATTAGGGATCGTGCTGTATCTAAGTGCCTAGACCTAGAGATGAGGTCTCCTTGTATCCAGCTATTAGAAATCGTTTGAATCCTCCTCAACAGCTATGAGGACCGCAACTACCCATGAAAGACCACCCCAAAGTATTCCTCCAATTATCGCCTCAACTCCCCAACCAACTAGCCCCAACCGTTCCATTTAAATTTCCCCACGATAACAGTGTTTTAATCAAAGACTATTGTGCCTCGACAGGACGACACATCGAAGAGCAGTTCAACAGCAAACGAGCTAGGTCTGGCGAACGTCGGCGGTGTGTTCGTGGTTCTGATGGGCGGGATGGGCATCGCTTGCGTGATAGCGGTATGCGAGTTCGTGTGGAAGAGCCGGAAGGTCGCCATCGAAGAACGGGTGAGTGAGGTCAGATAGCACGTCGAAGAAGGCGTGATCGCGCCTGAAGTAACGTCGTCCAATACGCATCTCGATCCTGACGCGATCTATCCCGATATACCGCGCGAATACATCAGTTGATGTTCGCACGACGGTGGAGTTCCTCTTTAATGGTCGCGGTGCAAGTACAAAACCACTCGGGTCTGATCGTCCTCCCGTTCTCTCTGATCGATGAACCACGAGAGACACTCAGGGATAAACAATGTTTTCGCGCTGTTATGCCGTTCACTTCGACACACGAGGCTGAATTTTCATAGTGAAATTTTGAAAAGATGCGGTTCTCCAAAGGGTAAAACTTTTAGAAATTAAAACTGAGTCTGTTAAAAATAAAAAAAAAACTTCGTTAAAAAATAATCAGAAATGAAGATGATACTTTTAGAAATGAAAATTAAGAGTCTGTCAAAAATAAAAATGAAAAACAACTTCATTAAAAGATTGTCAAAAATAGTCTGTAAAAATAAAAATAAAAAACAGTTTCATTAAAAAATTGGCAAAGAAAGTTTTTTAAAAATATAAATAAAAAACAGTTTCATTAAAAAATTGGCAAAAAAAGTTTGTTAAAAATATAAATAAAAAGTAGTTTCATTAAAAATTGTCAAAAATAAAGATGACACTTTTAGAAATAAAAACTAAGAGTCTGTTAAAAATAAAAATGAAAACCAGCTTCGTTAAAAAATTTTTGAAGGTGAAGACACTTTTTAATATCAAATTTCCATCCAATTGAAACACATCAAACCTAATCACACCAAATAAAGTTCGAACAGAAGCACGTCGAATTGAACTGTATCTAATACTGAATTAAGCACCATCGAAAACACAGAGTCCCATCTAATCAAACTAATTCAAATCTCATCCAATTAACATATCGTTCAAGTATTAATTATGCAGAAAATAAGTAAAACTGAGTATCAATTATGCAAAGAATAAGTAAAAGGTCTGAACATTAATTATACAAAGAATAGCAGGCATAACAGCGTTGCTTTATTCTCAGCAGGATTTCGTTCGATTGAATCTCTGCGTTAATTCGTATTCACCTTGTTCCTCTTCCCTATTTGATTCAAGTCGAAAGAATTTAGAACGCGGGATAAGCGAGAAGATATTGGAGCGTAAAGTGTCTTTGTCCGTGGGAGAGTAATTACTCGCGGCCTTAAGTGGATACGACGCTAATTCGGTATTCATGGTTTTTACTTGTCTGTCGACCTCTTTCATTCGTTTTCGTTGAAAAGAAACGTTGCTCATCGCGGTACACTTTACGATTTCGAACGGTAAATCGAAATTCGAGTGTTCGATGGTGGATCGTAGGGGGAGTTCGACCTCGAAACGGATCGATCATCGGAACAAATGGAAACTGAAAAATGGAGCAACGTCGGAGTGTATTTTGTTCTCTGGAAATGGAAATACAATTTCGCTTGATAAATAGACGCGAAGAATTCAATTACAACGACGGGTCGCCGCAATATTGTACAACCAATCCGCGCGCTCAACGCGGTTAAATGAATTACATCGGAACGGAAATATATGGGCTTGAAAAGGCGTGGATAAACTATGGCTCGAAACTGTTCGCAAAAAAGAGTGCATTTGTTAACACGAGAAAAATTGGAGCTAATATGCTTGATAATGAAATGTGCTTCATGGGGCTTTTTGTTTCGATTATACAGATATCAGTAGGTAGTAAAATTATTACCTGCAAGAGAACACAGAAAAGTGAATCATATGCGACAGTACAATAATTTCATATGGCATCGTAATTAAAAGATGAAAATGTACGGATCTGTTGTATAAACGTGTATTTGTATTTTATCGTTGGTTGTGTAAATGAAGGAAAGTCTTCTTTAGAATTTTAGATTTATCAATTTTAACGTTGTTAAGTCACAAAGTTAAGAAGTTTCAAAATTAACAAATTTCTATGCTGTTAAGTTTCACAGTTAAAGACTTACAGAGTTGTTAAGTTTTAAACAGTTTCAAAGTTGTTGAATTTCAAAACTAAAATTAATCTTGTTAAGTTTCAATGTTGTAAAGTTTCAAAGCTGTTGAATTTCTAAATTAAAAGGTTTCAATGTTGTTAAGTTCAAACATGAAAAGTTTCAAAGTTGTTAAGTTCAAGAATTAAAAAGTTTCAAAGTTGTTAAGTTCAAGAATTAAAAAATTCCAGAGCTGTTAAGTTCAATAATTACAAAGTCTCAAGGTTGTTAAGTTTAAAATTTAAAAAGTTTCAAAGCTGTTAAGTTTAAAAATTGAGAAGTTTCGAGGTTGTAATTTTCCAAAATTAAAAAATTGCATAATTCCAACGTGGTAAGTCTCAGAGTCCCATAATCCTAAAATTTATAAATTCGAAGGTACCAAATTTTCAAAGTTCCAAAGTCACAAATTTTTCAAAATTGGAAAGTATCAAAATAGAGACTTTCGAAAAGTCCCAGTATTTTAAAGTTCCAACGTCCTCAAATTAAAGTGTTCGAAAATTAAAATTTGTACAAACTATTCAAATTACTCATAATGTGAAGCTCCCAAAACTTTAAGATCCTTAGTTGTAAAATTTAATACCTCCAAAATTCCTAGCTCGAAATTCCCTAGTTTCAAAATCCAAAACCTCAAAAGTCCCTAGTCTAAAAGTTCAAAACCTCCAAAGTCCCTAGTCTCAAAATCCCGCACCTCCAAAGTCCCTAATCTTAAAATTCCACAACTTCAAATTCTCTACTCTTAAAATCCGACTTCTGTAAAGTCCCTAATCTCAAAATCCAAAACCTCAAAAGTCCCTAATCACAAAATGCCACACCTCCAAAGTCCCTAGTCCCAAAATCTCAAACCTCCAAAACCCCTAATCTAAAAATTTCTACGTCTCCAAACTCCCTACTCCCAAAATTCCACAAGTCCAAAATCTATTCCCAAAATCCAACACCTCCAAAATCCCCATCCCCAAATTCCCAAAATCCCTAAACATATAAACCCGACAGTCCCTCCCTATGAAACTCTAAAAACGTCAAATTCCAAAAGTCCCACCTCCGAAGAATAATTTCTTTTCACCCTCACGCTGTGAGCCGCAATATAAGGAACACCGGAAACAACGAGCCTATATTAAGTTGTTTCTCGCGCAGAAACGCGAGCGGGAAGCTCGAAACAGCCCCGCGTGCCTACAATATGTATTCGAGCTGCCGTTTGCGTACATTGAAGCGGAAAGCAAACAGGCAAGTATTTGAGAAGGGCTCGTCCACAAATACGGATATGCAGCTTTGCAACGGTGACCCCGCCTTCCTGAGGGCAAACAATTCCACGAGCTAACAAACGTCAGGGTATTGCTGTTCCTCTTTAGACCGCACTACTTGAAACCGCAACGAAGTAGCCGCGATACACCCTTGAATCTGAAACTGTTAATCGTTTCAACTTTCTACGGGATCGGAGATCGTTATACAAAATCGAGACCTTACTTTCGACGCATTCCTTGTAAATCGAGTTTTCTTCGGCGAGGTGCTTCGATCAAGCTGGAAATTAGTTTCAAACTTCGGATCTTCGTTAATTCGTACTTGACAGGCGGGATCAAAGGATTATGGTGGACAGAATGCGCCGAAACTATGAATACAGATTCTCGGCGGTATTTGAAGTTGGAGTGTGGCAATTAACGGGTTAATTTGGGGGTAACTTTGGAACTTTGATAAAGATCAAGTGTTTTGTTTTGAAGAAAAAATTAGAAACAATTATATTTAGAGTAATTATTGGGTAATTATGTAGGTTTTGCGAAATAATTCCTTTAGAGTTAAGTATAAGGTTACTGTGAACACAGTGTATTGATTGGTAATTACTCTCCATTAAAATTGTTATTAACAAATTGTAAGTTAATCGTCTTTAGATGGATTTACGTTACTTATACGTTAAACTCTAGATTTAATAAAAATATTTAAACCCTTCATCTCCACTTTCTTTTATTTATATCTGCATTTCTTGTCCTTGATTCTTTGCCTCAAATTTCCATGATCTTTCTACCCCTAAGTGAATACGAAACGAACGTTCGAAATGTCGATCGAGCGATTTGATTTTTCGCGGTTCAAGAACAAAAATGCTTCTCGTGTCCCCCGAATCCGATTCATCGATCTCTTTCCATTAAACGCAATCTTACCCGAGCATTTTCGTGTTCTGTTTTAGAAGCAGAAATCCTCGGGGAAACCGATCTGCGAAGCTTTTACCGATCTACACTAACGGACGATATACCGATCCTCTTGCGAAACGAAAACTATCGATTCCTAAGCCCGAGAAAAGCGTATCTGACCCGATGGACGTAAGGAGGAACTCCACCATTGATCAAGAACCGTGTGCCATCTTGACAGACACACTAACTGTAGAAAGTTCAAACGAAACGTATAATCAAAAGAAGGAGCAACGATCCTCGACCTTTCCAGTTTTTTCTTTTTCGTTGTATCGTGGATGTAAAGATCATTGCCGGGTGTCGTTCAAATTTCATTGAAGAGTCGAGGTTAGATAAGTGCTTCATTTTTGAAAATTTATTTTCAAATAATTCGATCGAAACAACGCGGATATGTAGGACTGATATTTATTTCTGAAGATAAATAAACAAAGAAATTTATAAATATCAGTCATTTCTGAAAATATACACAAAATTGTATGACAGAGATGAATGTGATACATAATTTAAAAAGAGGAATATTGAATAAATTGTCCATTGTTCGACACGTTTCTACATTTCAATTTTTATATAGTTTATGCACAAATACTGTCGGAATGAACTCTTCGTTGTCAATTTATTTCTCGAAAGAAAATAATGAAAGAAACGAAGCTAACGAAAATTTAAATTTATTTAATATTCCAAATATTGTTTAAAAAAAGTGGTATCAAAAATGCTATATTAAATCATAATGTTTTTAACCATCATACCAGTAAAAAATTAAAAATATGTGTTCGTTTATAAATTGTAATCGTATGTCACAAATAAATTTTCAGAAATGTCAAAGTGATCTAACCTCAGTCCCGGAAATTCGATGAAATTGGAAAGGTCAATGGCGTTCGCCAATTTGCTCATATCAAATCTTAGATTAATCGACGACGACTTGAAGCCTCGCAACGAGAAGGGACAGTGTCTCGGTCGATTGTTGATAAAAGACACGGCGTGACATTCACGACGGACACGCCGTGATCGTGACTGACTACCGTGCTGCAGATAAACGGGAACTGTTAACGAACAATCACGATTTTATACCGATTAGATAATTATTAATGTATAGCGTCGGATTGCGAACGTTTTACTTGTATGTACATATTGCACCGCGTCGCTCGAGGCCCGAAGTTGGCGAGTTTCTCGATAAAGCGAGCGAAAAAGGCAAGAGGGAATAATTGAATTCGAGAAAGATATTGCCCGGGAAAGTTTCAGGTCCACGAAACTTGCGAACTTCGGCCTGGGACTTCGAGCAAACGAAAGAACTTCGTTCATAGACCATTCTGTGTGTCTCGTATAAACCTTGTATTATACGGAATTAATGGGGAAAAAAATGAAACGAACAAAAAAAAAACAAAGAAAACGAGAGTAAAGGGCGAATCTTTTACGTGAAGGTTCGAAAGGACACGCGCACGATGTGTGACAGTTTAGTATGACATTGTTAGTTGTGTCGCAATGTTTCTTGCCTCTCTTTCTCTCCCGCCATGGATACGCAGGAGGTGAGCAAGTTTTCCATTTTGTCTATGTTGTTCGCTGGTTGATTGACATGGTCGTAAAGCATGGATTTTTTCGAACGAGCTATTCCGTCGCGGTGTGTTTCTTTCGTTTCGTTTTGCGTTCGAAACCCGCGCAATGCTGGAAAAATGGAATTGTGAAAGAATTCGTATCTGGTAGATCTGTGCGGAAATTGGAGAATTGTTAATGCAGAATGTTAATTTCGTTTCGGGTGAAAATGGAAAGACTGGTTTTATTGTCCATTTTAATACATTTCCATTGTTCTTCGACGTGATTTGGAAATATAGAATAGTACGATTGCAAGTGTTTTGTTTTTATTTTGAAGCCCTTAACACGATCGTTGATTGTGGAGCATGTTGCTTGTATTATGGAGATCTTGGATGATGAATGGGTGTACAGATTTTTAGTATTTGTTGATAGTATGGTATCGACTATGATAGCTGATTTGAGGTTTGAAGAATTTGAGAATTTCAGGATTTATAAGTTTGGGAATTTAAAAATTTGGGGATTTGAGTATTTGAGACTTTGGGAATTTGGGTATTAAGAAAATTAGGGAATTGGGGAATCAGGGAATTAGAGAACAGGGGAATTAGGGAACAAGGGAATTAGGGAACCAGAGAATTAGGGAACCAGAGAATTAGGGAAGCAGGGAATTAGGGAAGCAGGGAATTAGGGTAGCAGGGAGTTAGGGAATTAGGGAATTAAGCAACCTAACGCAATTGCGGCGAATTAAAAGGTGGAACCTGTTTTTGAATTTCACCGCTCGTTCCCTTAATTACGATTCGTTGCGTTTTGTAACGTGTTTCTATCCATTTTCGCTTTTTTTTTTTTGTTATATAAATTTTTTTTTAATTTTCCACGATTGAACGTGCGTTTGACGCGAGCGAAATAACGATTACAGAGACTGAAATTTTTAACAGAGTTTCCTGCGGAGTTCGCGGAAACAGAGGGAAAATTAATGAACACCACCTTTGTTTGTTCCGATTTAAATTCTTTCGAGTGTTTCGTACTGTTTTTTCTTCCCGTGGTACTTCGAACGTTGCGCGTCTAAGTGTTACGATTGTTTTTGATGTAGTTATATTGTTGCTTTCTTTTATTGTAGAAAAATGACGTTCTGTTTTTTTAATGCTGCAAAGAGAATTGTGGCTGAAATGTATTTTGTTACATTTAATTATATGTTGTAGATAATGATCGTACGAATGAATTTAATTAATTCAATTTAATGGAACAAAGTCGTTTCTTTGTTTCGGAATGTATGAATTGTTAACACGGTTTTTGTGGGCTACTATTTTTAGTGGGATTTAAAAATTGGGGAAGCATTGTTTAAGGGAATATTTTTGGGAGTAGAGAATTTGGGGATTTTGGTGATTGGGAAATAGAATTTTAGAAATTTGGGGTTTCAGGATTTAGGGATTTGGAGAATTGGGTGCTTGGAAAGTTAAGGATTTAGGGAATTTTACGGGTTCAAGGATTTAGAGAATTAGGGATTTTGGGAATTAGGGATTTAGGGAATTAGGGAATTAGGGATTTAGGGAATTAGGGAATTAGGGATTTAGGGAATTAGGGAATTAGGGATTTAGGGAATTAGGGAATTAGGGATTTAGGGAATTAGGGAATTAGGGATTTAGGGAATTAGGGAATTAGGGATTTAGGGAATTAGGGAATTAGGGATTTAGGGAATTAGGGAATTAGGGATTTAGGGAATTAGGGAATTAGGGATTTAGGGAATTAGGGAATTAGGGATTTAGGGAATTAGGGAATTAGGGATTTAGGGAATTAGGGAATTAGGGATTTAGGGAATTAGGGAATTAGGGATTCGGGGACTTAGGGAATTAGGGAATTAGGGAATTAGGGAATTAGGGATTTAGGGAATTAGGAAATCTGGGAATTTGGGAATTTGAGAATTTAAGAATTTAGAAATTTGGAAATTTGAGAATTAGGAAATTAGGGAATTTGGGAATTGGGAAAGCTAAAAATCAGGGAACTAAACAACTAGGAAACTACTGTAATTAGGGAAGCAGAAAATTTCAGAAATAGGAAATCAGGAAATTTGAAAATTTAAGAATTTGAGAATATAAAAATTTGCAAACTTAAAATTATTCGTCTCGTCCAAGATCTCCATGCACTTGGCAATTCAATTTACAACCTTCCCACCTATTTTCCTTCGAAACCAATCAAGTTTTATCACGAAAAAAAGTGATAACAATTATGTATAATAATAATTCATGTGTATCAAAATTCATTCTTATTAAATTGAAATAAATAAATAGGTCATCAAATTTGAGATTCGTGAATTTAATTGTCAATTCAATATATTATATACTACTTTCTTAGAAAATATAAAAGAAATTTTTATTTTTATATTAGTTAATGTATGTGAAGCAGTTTATAATTTTATACAATAGTGAATGATAGATAATTAAAAATGAAGTTTTTATTAAAGTTTCATTGTGCCTGGCTTTAATATCATTTTTGCAATAGAACTTAAGAATATGTTATAACAGAATGCCCATTAAAAATCATATCGACAATTGTTACAGTGAATGCTTATTCTGGCTGATTTTTCATCGATATTTTCACTTATTCACAGTTTATGTAAAATATTGTTAATTTCAAATGCATGCATATGTTCGATTAATTGTTCAAATGTCAGCTAAGTCAGCTCAAAGTTATGACGTGTCGTAATAAAACTCTGTTAAAAAATGTTTACATTTACAAATCTACGTATTGACAATATTTAAAACTCTAAAATTAGACGATTTAGAAATATTCAAATTTACAAAATTTCAAATTACAAAAATTCCAAGATTTAGAATTCAAAAATTTCCAAGCTACAAATTTTCAAATTTCTCTACAAAATTAATTCCTTAGAAGCATTCCTTAATCTTCCTAGATTCACCCTCAATTTTCTCCAGAATTCTCAGAGTTCTAACCAGATCTCTCTACATCCTTTAACTTTCATTTACACTCTCTTTAAGTCTTCCCAGAATATTTTTAACCCTTTGCACTCGAATAATATTGGTAGATACCCTAAAATTTTTGGTTAACACACTTAACAAACTCTTTTGAAGTTATTCCTTTGCTATTAGTTTCCACTGGTGTCCCTTTATACATCAGCAAATGGTTAAACCAAATTTACTAGTGAAGAGTAAACTATTTACGAGTTAAACCAAATGGTGAGTGTACAAATACTGTGCGTCAGCGTTCGAGTGCAAAGGGATGCTCCCACCTTCGCCTAGATGTCACTACAAATTGACTCTCGTCGATCGAACATAGTTCACGCAACTAAATCACATGAGTATGTCAACCCACAAGCTGCCGCATGAGGATCCGAAGCAAAATAAGCTTTCCACTGTGAACACTTTCGTTACAAAAAAGAATAATAATGACAATAATTGCTTTTGCACTATCTCACTTTATAAACATTTGTCGACTGTTATTGTTTTTTGCCCAACTGCGACTGCTTGAGTTAATATCACCGAAAATACAAGTGAGGCATTTTTCTGACCTGATCAACAAGAACCGTAGCTCTTCTAGCTACCTGGATCTCTTAACGCCAACTTGTGAATTGCCATAACATTCATTGTGAATTGTCATAGTACGCGTCATAGCATTCGACTGACTAAGCCGCGGGCCATATAAATGCCACCGAATTAAGACCGTGCAGCAGCTTGGTCGTTTCGTCGAACTTGCAGAAGTCCGTGTGTTCGGAGATGGCAAGCGAGCTGCGTTACGCGTTGGACTGCGGGAACGGGACGAAAAAGCCGGTGAAGAAGACATTGTGTCGTCGGGAGAGGCAGCAATCGAATCTGTCGATCGTGTCCGAGGAGGGCAGGTACCCGGAGTGCAACAAGTACAGACACTTCGTCGGCAAAGCTCCCTTGACATGAAGCTCGCAAGTGGATCGTTGCACGCCATGGACCTATGGTGAACACGTTTAAGCCCGTACAAGGTCGGTTCATCGATCGATAAAAGCAACGAGGCGCGAATCAGACTTCCTGGACCGAACGAAACTCGGGAGCCCTCCTCCACATACATGTCGCTGCCATCTCACATATGTTTCTCGGTGTGCGTGTACACGTCTGTTCTTATGATTTTTTTCGTCTCATTTTTCACGAGCGACACGAGCAAGGTAGTTCTTCGACTAGCACTTTGTAGGGTCTACAGTCGTTTAACCGTTAATTGGAGCTCGTTGGAATTTATTGTACCGTGCGGGAGACAACGGCGCGCGCTGTTTGAGCGGAAAGATTAACGAGCGACCTCGAGATCCTTTGTCTTTCGTTCAGCCACTCGTGCCGGAAGAGCGTCTTTTATGGAAAGAGAAGATCGTGAACTGTCCCCGGATCGTTCTAGACCGCGGCTCAGAAAAATCTCGAAAGCCGGCTCAAACTAAGAGGATCAAAAACTGTTAACCCTTGCGAGTTTCATTTTCCACGAGACTCTGCTCTACACGGCCTGTTGCGACAACCATAATCTTCGGTTTAAGATGATATTTTTTATATTTATACTCTTTCTGCTTATTTGAGTGTAATTCGTCTTTGGGGTATCTGGTGTACGGTCTGGTGATAGGTGACCACCCAGGTACCTGATTTATTTATGAAAACGAGACATTGTAAGTAGTTTGAATGCGGTTAAGTCATTATCTAGATTACTTGATATCACTGAAATTATATTTGGAGTTTCTGCGTTTTAAATAGTGAAAGTCTTGATATTGGGAATCTCGTTAAATACTTAATTTTTCATTTTCTGCATTCAATTATTGCTCAATACATCTGCAATTTAAGGAATTAGGTTAAAGAATTAATTAGTCTTATACATATGTTTCGTTCATTCAATACTCTGATTTTCTTGCAAAGTCTACTCTCTGTCTAAAACAATACTGATAATTATTAATTAATGAAATGTTTAAACCCTTAAAAAAAAGATGCTTAGTCATTTTTGCACAATATTAATACCAAGAAATCTACATCCGAAAGAAATTTTATAAAAATTTGTGTATGACATAAATTCAATGATTGTACAATTTGAATACCTTTCAAATTTGAGTTAATTTGAAACTGATTGAGATTCATGGGTTGAAATAGTGTCACATGGATGTTGCAGATTATTCAGAACGTCATACACAGGTGCTCCAATAATTATTTTATTCAATCTAATATTAACGATAAATTAATAGTTATAAATTATCATTTATTCTAACATTAATTTAAAACACACGAGCTTGACGTTCCATGTCCTTTGTTCCTGTTCGATCAATTAATTTAATTGCGAATTATTTTGAGTTATGGACGTCATTTACTAGGTTGCCTATTGCGTGTCTATTTTATGAAACGCTACTGAATTTCATTTTAGCATGTGTTTAGTTATTAATTCGATTTTAATCTTAGTTATTAATTCGATATTAGTGCAGATTACTTATTAAATTGATTTTAATACATATTTAGTTACTAATTTATTTTTGATATATTTTTGGATTATTAATTTGTTTTAATACGATTTATTTACTAGTTTGTTTTCAACACGTGTACTTTTATTTTATTTATCAACCATTAAGTAATAAAATCGGTGTCAGTTGTGATGCAAGCTAATAAAACTTACTAAAGTCATTTTCCAAAAAAAAATAATTTCACACATTTG